TGTTCGTCTGTCTTTTGAAGCTCTGTTACCTTCTTTCACATGTGTTGAAGTCCCCAGTCTATCTAGATGTTTTGTTTGTTTGTGTCACAAAACTTGTCATTGAAGAACTGCTATGGTGTCTTTTATTAAGCAGAAATCTTGAACTTAAATGGATTCAAAGTTCTTCAAGATTTCTTTTTCTAGAAAGGAGAGCAAAGAAATGGGTTGTGGTAGCCAGCAGGAGAAACGCAGTAGAGAGAGGTGGAGATTTCTTTTGACTTCCCACATGTGTTATTGAGAGGACTGAGATGGGTTTAGTGAATGATGTAGAAGAGAAGGGGCATAATTGCTCCCAAAATGACCTTGAGCAGGTGGGAGCAGATGGGATGATGGCATAAGAGGAGAGGATGAGCTTAACTGTGAAAAAGGTGACGTTTCCATGGGCCAGATTTGGATTTATTTTGAAAATCTCTTTCTACCTCTTGAGACACAATTGTTTATTCTGTGCTGTCTTCCACTAACTGTGGATCTGCAGCCACTGCACAGATTGGCCAATCTAGAAGCTTTGCATGTGGGGTTGAGTAAGGGCCCAGTTTTATTTTTATCTAACCATGAGTCTGTTCTCTCAATCCCATCACTCATGATTTCTTCTTTTCTTCATGGCACTGTATCAGGCAAGATCCTCCAGAAGGACAGAACTAACAGAATGCATCTATATTACCAAAGAACCGAACTTACTAGGATCATTTACATTCTTGGATAGTCCAACAGTGGTGGTCTGCATGCTTGAGAAGTCAATGATCCTATAATCAGACAGTCTATGGGGCTGGATACCTCAGTTGTCCTAATCTGACACTGAGGGATGGCAGCTCTTGGAGAGTTACTGGTCTTCAGTTCACATTGCAAGGTTGAAGAAGCTGGAATCTGAAATGTAAGGGGTAGGGCAGCAGCATAGAGAACAGATGCCCTCACCAGCAAAAGGCAAAGGAACCTGCACTGTCCCCTAAGGGTTCTTGTCACCTGGGGGAGGATCATCTCCTTTATTATGGAATTTCTGTCAGGTGACAATAGAGATTAGCCATTGTAAGGTCTCCTGTTTCCTTTATTTATTTATAAGATACCAAATTCTTATTACACACTCATCGTTCTTAACTTATAAATTAAAATCAATCACTATACTTGTCTACTCTTTTACAGAAACGGTGGTCATTCTCTGTCGGCTCCTCTTTATAGATTAAACATGTTCAGTATATTTGATGTGTATTAGGAATTCCTGCCCTAGTAAATGTGACCCATGACATCAATCTAATATATCAATATAGATGGAGAGTAGAAAAAGGAAAGAATTACTTGTCAAAAATATGTCCAAATGTGCTGGGTGTTTGTCAACCTTCCATTTGCTCATTCGCCCATTCATTCCACAAATACTTGACTGTTAACTGTTTGGGAAGTGTGCTAGTGTGGGAGACATAAGGGCGAACCAAAAACAAAAAAGGTATAGTCTTTAAATGTATTCTTTGATTACAAAAATATTAATTAAAAATTAATTAATTTATTAACGAAGTTATCATGATAATTGTGACAAGTGTTCTGAACTAGTTTAATGAAGAGGGTTCTACCTAGTCAGGGGATAAATGAAAGCCGACATTTGTAGAGTAGACAGGAGTTAGCCCTCCCAGGGGCACAGGGGGAGTCTTCAAGCAGAAGAAACAACACACCATAGCGCTTACAACAACAGAAACCTATGAGTGCAAAGCACTGAAAAACACAGGTGTGTGTGTGTGTGTGTGTGTGTGTGTGTGTGTGTGTGTGTGTGCGTGTATGTGCGCGAGCATCAATACTTAGAGTGCAGCAATACTTCTAAGTCAGATAAGGCACAAGGGGCAGTCTCTATACAATCAGAAGAGAATACACAGGCACAGCCACTAAGAAAGGAGAAACCGAGGACAGACAATCTTGGCTTGTTTGACCTGGGATTTAAACTCAAACACACTCTTTGTCATGGCTCCCGTGTATACATTCCACGTCACAGACATTAATTTTGAAAAGCAAACTTGAAGTATGTGGAACAGTAGGACGTAAACAGTTTAACAAATTCAAAAATGCATTCCTTGTATTACAAAAGAATTCATTTTTTAAAATTGGTGCAATTTCAAGAAGTACACAAACCTCCTACAGTCTCAGTCTAGTTTCACACAGTTAAGCTGTAGACACCAGTGGAAGGAGTCTTTGTGTGCTGTTGAGAAGGGGCTGAAGGATCAGAAGTGATGGGTGAATCAGCACTAGAACTAAGTTCTAGACCAAATGGAGAGTCTCCTTCCAAAGTAGAAAAGCAGGCAACAGTCACAAGAATGAGATGGAATATGTTAAAAGGGGGCGGGGCAGAGATGGGGTAGTACAGTGTGGAGAAGAGGGGTGCCCATAATAACAGACACTGGAGGACTTAAGGAACATTTTGAGCATTTATTCCGAGTGCATCCTATACCGTATCATTTAATCGGTAGGACAAGTCTGGGCAGTGAGGATTTGTGCCCTTGTTGCTATCATTGGGTTGACTCTTTATTCCACCTCTGAAATCTGAGCAGTGCATTTCCAGCTTGTTTTCTTTTCCACCTTTTATTTGTGTCAGACTCGCTCCCTTGTCAATGTTGTGTTAGGGACACACCTCAGATAGACAGAGTCCTCCTGAAAGCCACATTCATCCACGAGTTTCTCTTTCATGGGCTCTGGCAATTGTGGGAGATGGAGGTGGCAATCTAGCACGAATTAACCTGCTCAGTGACAGGTGTCTTTGTGCATACATCTGTGTAAGTGGGTATTTTGTTTGCTTGCTTGTTTACTTCAGCATATTTAGTTTCTGGCCTCTGCAAGTAGAATTCTGTGTAACTATTGGGTAGGGTTGGCCCCTGGAATTTGAGTTGTACATTGTTCCTCTCTCTAGGGGACCTTTGCTTCTGACTCTCTGTGATATCTATACAACCAACCTCTGTCTCTCTTTGTCTCATGGTAAGACTCTCATGATCAGTTCAGCAGTTTAGTTTTAGGTAGAAGAGGTGCCATAGGATTATTTTTCTTATCAAATGTGAGTGCTGATGCCTGAGATGTTCTCAAAGCAGGGCAAGATGGGCAGGAAGCTAGCTGATCCTGACTTTTGATTCTGTTAGAGTAACAGAGAGCTGGCATATGTGTGCAGTTAGTGTTCTCAGCCAAATGACATTCTTAAAAAGAGTCACATCTTTCTATACTTCTCACACTTTCATGGTAGGATGTTTCAAAACTGGTTTAAGGAGGAATTTACAAGGTTCAGCTAGTCTAATCTATTAAGGTGAAACATTTACTTAGAATATGTAAATTTTATCTAATTCCTTGAGTGAATTTTCATGAAGAAACACAAAAATTGCCATTTTATAAGCTTCAGTTACCTGGTATCTCTGAGATGAATTGTCAAATTGCTCTCTCACCCCTTTCTGGAATGAGAAAGAGCATGAGCCATCCCAAAGGCATTGGAGGCTGAAGGTAGGCAAGAGTTTGGCAATGTCCTATTGTCAAGAGCTGTGATGCCGAAACCAGTTGGCTTCTGTGCTTTCTGGAAAGCTTGGAGCTGGACACTGTGATGTCATCACCAATGAGTTGATTGGCATTTATGAAATCATCACTGGGCAAACATGAATGAGGGTTAAGAAGTAAGAAAACAAAAGCATGGACACTCGGACTCGTGACCCAGGCTTATTTTACTAGCAATCACTGATAATTTTATGGCTATGGAGACAACAGAACACCCACTTGTGTAGCATTCATTAATTGAAAACAACAGACATTTACCATTAGACATCAATGTTCAATTTAACATGTGACTGCTATTAGCACCATTCTGAGTCTGCTCATAACAGGAAAACATTTTCAGTAATTGAAATGGCATTGAGTGCTGTGGTCATCTCTTCAAACTTGTTTTCTGCAGCTACCCTTAAGCCAGGTGTCAGGGAAGGGACACGCTTGTCTTCCTGGTGAAACTTCCCTGGTGTCTTTGGAAAGAGGCACAGAAGGGTGAGTCAGAAAGCCCATTCTGAGGAGTGCAAAGCACACAGCTCTCAAGCTTCATCTTCCTGGTTAAGTGCTGCTGTAATTCATAGGCTTAAGTACCTGTCAAGTCAGAAAGCAAATTCTCCTGTTCTTCTTCACTTTTCACCACGAACTCTAATCCTGATGACAGCACAGAGAAAAATAATCGGTACCAGGATGCCGGGGACTCCCATGAGGGAGATGCTCAGGAGAAAACCACAAGAAAACATGTTCATATATGATAAGGTTCTTAGAGAAAATCAGTAGCACACATTTAGCTGATGGCTGGGCCTCAGTTGATGTGTTTTCTGTAGTAACTTTGTTTTTGTTATTTCCCTTTTCCTTCCTTCCTTCCTTCCTTCCTTCCTTCCTTCCTTCCTTCCTTCCTTCCTTCCTTCCT